GTAGGGAAAATATCTTTCCTTCACTGACCTTACAAAATTTGTAGTGAAAGTGAAGAGGGTGTCCTTGAGAATAGTCAGAGAAGGTGAATCAGCTAAAAATTGAACTACTATGTGACTGCAAATCATGCATTAGGCTTTATGAAGCCAGATTTATTGTGTGGCCACTTTTTATGTAGCTCTGCCAGATCTGAAGCCTACAAAGTAACCCTCCTCTGATATGTGGCTCCTCTATAATATCAGACAATACGTTCTCAAATGCAATGAAGAGTTACCTCATCACAGTCATACAAAATAAGTGGAATAGCTGCAGACAGCGCAGCACTGCAGAGTTAAAGAGAAATTGATTTTTATCCCATTGTCCTTCTTCCTCCTAACAGTCTGTTGCACAAGTGTGTTTGTGCCTTATCAAAATAACAATTACAAAAAAGTCGCAAAAAAGGGAACGAGTCTGCACAGATAAATGTTGGAACAGGAGAAAATCTGTCTTAATATAAATAGTTGCATCCATCATTTTGTATTTTGGTTGAAAAATATGTTCCAAACACACATTCCCACTCCCCTACTGCAGCTCAGCCACTGTGGTGTTACTGTCACTGTGGTGACAGCTGTCTCTTTGTATGCTGGGAAAGCAAACCTGTGTGATGTTCCTGGTGTAAAGGAACAGGTTGTCATGAATATATACCACTAGAGGCTTCAGATGCATGTAAGCACCTGAAACGGGATCCTGAAGGGGTCTTCTCAAATCAAAATGTCTTTTGAGATGCATGAAACAGTGGTGAAGAGAGGTCTTCATTCAAGTCTTAGGTTTCTGGATCTCTTGCTTTATGCCCTAGGAATTCATTATACAATAAGAGTGTCTGTGAGTTTGAAACCTGTACAAAGGCAAGTGCAAAAGCATTTCAAAATAATGTGCAATTACTGTACATAACTGTTAAATCGGTTCAGAAAATTAATGAGCCACCATCCTAATTCCTGCCCACTCTGTCTTTCCGCAACCCTGACATCTGACAGTACTCCAAACGTGCTGAAACAAATATTAATCTGTTGAGGTAATGAATTAATGCACATCAAAACACCTGTGCCCATTGTTTTTCATGTAAACCCACCACACCAGCAGCAGTTGATTCACAATACTGCATCAGGATACATCCAGAGTCGACAAGCCAGCACTCCACAAAGCAATTTAATCACATGCTCTCCTTGGATTAGTGCATTCCAGCTACTGTACCTCCACTGTGTTTTCTGTGCTTAAGGCTTATTGTGTATATGCTGTGAGTTAAATAATATGGGTCAAATCACACGCTACACAATAGGACCAGTGTGTGTTGCCCTTCAGCCATTGTGTACTGTACAGCTAGTTTTCTTTGTTCTTGTTTTTAGATTGCTTTGCAGTTTTAGGTAGGCTGCCTGCATCCAAAAAAAAAAAAAAAAAAAGCCAAAAAAAAAAAAAAAAAAGTATGGCTGGAAATCTGGTGAAGTTGGGAAACAATTATAATTGGTGAGCTAATCACTAACATGCCAACCAGCCAGGAACATGCAAGTGCTACTCACAATAATTTTGCAAACCAGCTGGATTGCCAACAGCCCATGAGGTTGATCACTAGGTGATAATTTTAAAAAGATAAACTTGTGCCATTATCTCTTATGTCTCCTTTGGGGCGTAGTTTATAATCTGGGAGAGCAGGTTTACATAAAATACAGTTTTCACTCTCTGCACTCAAACAGGTTATTGGTCAATAATGCAAACCTGCATGTCAAAGCTCATATAATTTGATGCTGACAAGAAAGATTTGCATGGACAAATGCATGCTGAGTCTGGCAATTCCAATGAAGAATGATTTGTGCCAAAAAATGTATTTTTTGAGTAGGATTACATCTTAATGCCAATGAGAACAGTTTATTGCAAGTTTGACTTCATACTACTGTTGGTCCTATTATTCAGTAACATTGAAGAGCTACTGCATGGTGTGCCTATACTTTGATTTACCAGTACAGACCTGTGTAATATATATTAAAAGCTGTATTAATACATTTAATACACCGCTTATTGATGTTAGTAGTGCCCTTGTTTTAATTGTGCCTCAGTCTCTTTCTATAAAAGTAGCAAGCGGGTGGCACATTATGCGTCTTGTGTGTACAGAGCTAGAAAAGCCCTCATAAAGTGAAGTGAGTGTTGTTGATGAATTAGTGATAGCTCTCACTTTGAAAACATTGTGCTGTGTTAAGCACTGAGAACATTTTGAGAGACTAACTTTGGAGTGGGGCAAGTAGAAATGAATGTCACTGAAAGGTAGTGGATGGTCAAACAGAAGCTGAAGTGGCAGTTTAAGTGTTTTGTAGAACCAAACATACAAACTCAATTGGTCCTCTTCTCCTGCGCCTCTACATTTCACTTCTTCAGCTGTTGTTGTTAACCACATTCTTGTGGAGCAGGAAGGCAGTAATGTCTAGCTAAATAAAATATATGTCTCTCCACCTCTATCACTTTACTTTGTCCAAAATATTCTTTTATCCATTTCTAGAGACCTGCTGGGGAAGAGCAGGGTAATTGAAATCGCCCTGTGGTTGTCTCTTAAGACTTGAGGCTAATGGCTGCTCTAGTCCCTGTCAGTCAATGAAGTGCCCTACCTACTGGCTTTTCCTTTTTATCATCGCAAAAGAAGAGAAAGGAATGACCTGCACTGCTAGATCCTGCACTTCCTTTTTCATTACTTCCACTGCAGCGAAAGCTTAAGAGCTAGAGTTATCAATGTCGGGGCATATTTTAATAAATCACTAAAATAACAGGATAAGAGCAAATGAAAAGAGAAAGAGATCATAGTGAGATAATGGGTCTATGCATATTAAGAGAGATGGTTGGATTTACATTGGCAAGCATGACAATTGCAACCTTTAAATGATATTTAAAAGAGCCTGATTATCCCCTTAAGATAATTAAGTTAAATTCTGAGGACATTTAATTAGGACTAAGTCTGTCAGGCAAGAAGCCCCAGTCGATGGCAATTTTAGTAATTCTGCCCTAGCGTCAGGACTCTAGCACGCTCAGCCATTCTTTTTCCTCCCATCTTTCATTTCCATGCACACTTTGGTCTTTCACATTTTCTGCTTCAGTAGAGCAGTACCAGGTTTCATTTTCACAACACCGCTGCAGTGACAACCAAATAGTCATTTGAGTCATTTGACACAGGTTTCCTAAAGCACATTAGCTGGCATTAACATGACAGCTAACTAACATGACATGGTCAACAAATTGATATTGTTGAAATCACAACAATGATGTCACTTAAGTTGCACGCACAAATAACCTAGGAATGTCAAATAATAAAAGAGTAATTTTATAACAGGGCCCACCAGTAGCACCTGTGGCAAAAATGGATAAAAGCAAAGGCATGTTCCAAATGTAGTGTTGTGACAGGTGAGCCATTAAGTAACCCTGAGTATTGTGTTTTGGCAAAAAAAGAAAAACTGCATCTATCAATTGCAGAACTTCAAAGAGCGCTGAAGCTATTCTGTAAGTGGCAAAACACTCTCAACAAGTGTGAGAAAACTGCATGGGTGTGGGGTCGGGGGCCGTTTAGCATTATATAAATCCTTTTTCTGCCCTTCAAAAAGCAAGAAAATGAGCATTGTGTGAAAGTTCAGTTAAAGAGGTTGTGAATACGCAGTGAAGTAGGGAAATGTTACTAAAAGCAAATAAAAACACAGCACACTAAAACTGCTGGAAACCCCACACAGTGGATCAGTGTTTCATAGAAGCTAATGGTGCAAGTTCAACTTTGTCCATTTATAAAAGCAAGCAAGTGCTGAAGCAACACTACACCAAACCATTAGTCTGTGTGTTTTTATGCACTTACTGTATCGTGCACCATGTTACTGTGAGCTTTCTGCATAACAAATGTTTTAAAGCATCACTACATATCCTATATACAGTGGTGTGAAAAAGTGTTTGCCCCCTTACTGATTTCTTATCTTTTTGCATGTTTGTCACACTGTAATGTTTCAGATCGTCAAACAAATTTATATATTAGTCAAAGATAACACAAGTAAACACATCATGCAGTTTTTAAATGAAGGTTTTTATTATTAAGGGAAAACAAAATCCAAAACTATATAGCCCTGTGTGAACAAGTGTTGGCCCCCCTGTCAGAACACTGGTTTATCGCCCCTGAGTTCAATTTCTCTAGCCACACCCAGGCCTGATTACTGCCACACCTGTTCGCAATCAAGAAATCACTTAAATAGGACCTGCCTGACAAAGTGAAGTAGACCAAAAGATCCTCAAAAGCTAGACATCATGCCGAGATCCAACACAACCTGGAGAAATCTGATTCTGTCACCGTATATTCATTACCAGGTTTCTAACATGGTTTTTACATGTATACATATAAAAATGCCAGACAAAAAAGTATCAATATCATGGTGATGTAACAAAATAATAGAAAACACTACATGTTCTAGTAGATCTAGGTCTCCAAATTACCTAAATACAAAGCTGGAGTAAGTCTGAAACTGACAGTAATATGAAAGGATATTAGTTAAGTCTAAAATAACTCGGTTTCCTCAGCTGTACAACTCAGATATATTCACCTTGTAATTGCATGTATTCACACAGCAGCTACCTGTCATTTGTCCATGACATTTGCAGGAGCATTAGTGAAATCTGTAATCATAGGAGCATTACCTTTTGCTATTCTACACTCACAGCATTGCCAAAACCTGCACAAGTGCAGAATACCAACAAGAATTGTTGAATGCCAACAATCATTGTTTTTATGTTAACAGATAGCTGTAAGCCAATCTCAGCACATCGGAACAGTCACAGATTTGAGCTGACCATGAAGGGTTTAATGTGCTGCAGTGTAGAGGTGAAGCTGCTCAGGGCCTACACAGCTTCTGATTAGGACCTTTGTTTCGAAGTCTTTACAAAGCTTGCTGTCCAGGCTCTGAGGTGGAGCTGCCTGGCAGGAGGCCTGCTCACCCCTGAGCTCTGCTTAGACTTCTAAAGCTCAGCTACCTTTGAAGAAGGCATGAAAGTTGTCACAATGCCAAAAGACTGGCCACCACTGCACATTCACATTTCTTTAAAAGAAGCTAGTCCAAATTATAGCAGAGTTCATTTTAAAAAAGCACCAGTACTGATATAAGGACTAAATTCATAGAGCCAGCAAAGGAAGTTACTGTAGAAACCAGCATCAAAAAGTGTTTCTATATATATATACATGGTACACAAGCTTAAAAGATGCGTACACAGTATGTGCATGCACAAAGTAACATTTAGCATTTGACACTTCCCTACAGTTAACTAGTAAAAAAAGAAAAGGTAGACAAATGACTGAATATTGTGACAGGCTCTATGTTTGATTTTCTTTCCTGGTTGCTGATTGTGTTTTTCTCTGTGTGTAGAGCCCTACCTGGAAGCTCCTTATCTCCCTTCATCCATCTGATGGTGGCAGCAGGCTTACTGCTCATGGCAGTGCAGGTCATCTCTGTCTCGTTGCCCTCGCTCAGCAACTCATCCTTGGCTTCGATGATGGGGTTACCTGGTGGAACTATGATAGGACACACAAATTTATACCATAGTACTTCCACACCCTTAGCTCTACATGCCAAGAACACAGAGCTGACACAGAAGAAATTTTGTTATTTACAAAGGAAATGTTTAAAGTAGATCAGGTGACAGAAAAGTACAGGACATCATCTTTTGGTATTAGATTTATACTCTAATATAGGAAAAGTCACGTAATCAAGAGCACTGAGAGATATGACATCTTGTTCAAATCATTACTTATTGCAGTTAATAATTAATTTGTATACAAGTTAGTATAAGTATGCATGCCTATATTCAACAAACATAAGAATATCCAACATTATTATATAAAGTAAATGTAAGTGGACAAAAAGGAAACAAATAAAAAACTCACGCTATAGTATTCATATTTACCAACTAGTATTAGAATAACATGAATACTGTATATACGTACATACATACAAAGCCATAACCTCACTGCAGCTGCTGTCAGTCTTTTGTACTTTTCATAGTGAACTGCTGACTGTTGCTCAACATGAGAATACATGCTGTCTTCTGCAGTCCAAATTTTGATTAATAGGCTTCACCTCCCTGCTACCAATAACACTGAGCATTTGTGTCTACATGCACTGTATATGTGTGCGTTTTGCTGTTGTACTTAGCACAGTGATGTCAGCGTAGGCTTCCTGCGGGGGGTCTGTGTAGAGCTGGCAAACATATCGACCCTCGTCTGACAGCGAGACATTAGACAGCGACACTCGCAGCTCGTTGTCTGAGAAGTTCACCAGCTGAAAGCGAGCATCTTTCAGTGCTGAAGGAGAAAAATACACACAAAAACAACATTTATGCCATACTTACTCACAGGTAGGAGGGACATACAGTATATGTATAGTATAATAACAGTACTTAAGGTAAGTGATGTTTCATTTTGACTGGAAAATCATACACTATAGTTACAAAAATGTTTTGCATGATAATACTGTGACCATTTGGAAAGTGAAACATTTTTGTGTTTTCCTCAGTTGATAGTACGCAGTTAAATGTGCCAAAGACTGGATGGGCATTACCATGGAAGCTTGGTAAATGATGTTTACCCTTTATTTGGCCCCAAACAGAGGATAACAGGCCATGCCATTATGAATGAGTCACACCGCCTTTAATTTAGACTAAAAGGCGCATATACTGAATGCAAATATATTCTAGCATCAGATGAACCTGGTAGGATTACTGTAGGTACAAACACTTAAAAACAAAACATTTTAAAGTGTATTTTTCTGCTGATCAGCTACTAAATCAATCAGCTAATTATATTCGCTCCACTACCGTCTGTGTTGTATTTCTACGCTTTTTAATAAAGTCAAAAACATTGCAACAATGAGTGTTGTTAGCTATCGAGAATAAAATTAATGATGATTTATTGTTTTACCATAGAGCTGCTCATTTATGCTGCAGAAACCCTTTAAGAATGTATAAACAGAACACATCAAATAAGCAATTAATTTTTCATTATTATTACTTTAGACAAATAATAATATGACAACAATGATAAGGGTTCCTCTTTTGTGTTTTTAATTCATCAAATGGTTCTCTGAGCTGTTACAGATTCACACTAAATCATTTAGCCCAAACCCAGGAGCCACACGGCAGTCCTGCTTTCTTAGGGTTGTGTACAAAGACATATTTCAAAATTTTTAATAGGTTTCATGGCCAATTTTGCTGCTAGTCATTTTTGTTTCCAGTGCATCACAACTTCAAGAGCGCTTCAAAGAACTTTCCAGAGAGATTAAAGCTACCTCAGTCTAATGAGTTACCGGCCAATCTCGGTGCAAAGGGATGCAACATAGCACGCAGCAACAAAAAACAGAAAGTGAAAGCATAAGAAACAGCTGACACTTTTTTGTTTACACCAAGAACAGAAAATTGCATTTTGACACAGACTTATAGCACATGCTACCGACATGGTTTGTATTAACAGAGGCCTTATCCCTGGCTGTCCTTTAGTTGGCCTACAGCTGAATTGAGGATAAATCCATAAATCCTGTCTCTTCCTCATCTCCAGCCACTTTCATCTTTCCTAACCTTGTTTCCCACCTATAAGCACACTCTATCAGCTGTAATGCAGAATGACAACATGTGGCTAAGATGAAAGTCTACCCTTCTCCATCCCTCTTCGATGCGATGATAAATTCTGCACTGACGGACAGCAACTCCAGGGTCTTTCTTAGTATAGATCTGTGTACTCATCCTCTGGCTCAGATTTTTTTCTTAAAGGTTAAATAAAACATTAGGAGTGGATATGTCTGACACAGAACACCTCAACACAAACCTAGTGTACAGTGGGTACGGAAAGTATTCAGACCCCCTTAAATTTTTCACTCTTTGTTATATTGCAGCCATATGCTAAAATCATTTAAGTTCATTTTTTTCCTCATTAATGTACACACAGCACCCCATATTGACAGAAAAACACAGAATTTGACATTTTTGCAGATTTATTAAAAAAGAAAAACTGAAATATCACATGGTCATAAGTATTCAGACCCTTTGCTCAGTATTTAGTAGAAGCAGCCTTTTGAGCTAATACAGCCATGAGTCTTTTTAGGAATGATGCAACAAGTTTTTCACACCTGCATTTGGGGATCCTCTGCCATTCCTCCTTGCAGATCCTCTCCAGTTCTGTCAGGTTGGATGGTAAACCTTGGTGGACAGCCATTTTCAGGTCTCTCCAGAGATGCTCAATGGGGTTTAAGTCAGGGCTCTGGCTGGGCCATTCAAGAACAGTCACGGAGTTGTTGTGAAGCCACTCCTTCGTTATTTTAGCTGTGTGCTTAGGGTCATTGTCTTGTTTGAAGGTGAACCTTCGGCCCAGTCTGAGGTCCTGAGCACTCTGGAGAAGGTTTTCGTCCAGGATATCCCTGTACTTGGCCGCATTCATCCTTCCCTCGATTGCAACCAGTCGTCCTGTCCCTGCAGCTGAAAAACACCCCCATAGCATGATGCTGCCACCACCATGCTTCACTGTTGGGACTGTATTGGACAGGTGATGAGCAGTGCCTGGTTTTCTCCACACATACCGCTTAGAATTAAGGCCAAAAAGTTCTATCTTGGTCTCATCAGACCAGAGAATTTTATTTCCCACCATCTTGGAGTCCTTCAGGTGTTTTTTAGCAAACTCCATGCAGGCTTTCATGTGTCTTGCACTGAGGAGAGGCTTCCGTCGGGGCACTCTGCCCTAAAGCCCCGACTGGTGGAGGGCTGCAGTGATGGTTGACTTTTTACAACTTTCTCCCATCTCCCGACTGCATCTCTGGAGCTCAGCCACAGTCATCTTTGGGTTCTTCTGTACCTCTCTCACCAAGGCTCTTCTCCCCCGATAGCTCAGTTTGGCCGGACGGCCAGCTCTAGGAAGGGTTCTGGTCGTCCCAAACGTCTTCCATTTAAGGATTATGGAGGCCACTGTGCTCTTTGGAACCTTAAGTGCAGCAGAAATTTTTTTTGTAACCTTGGCCAGATCTGTGCCTTGCCACAATTCTGTCTCTGAGCTCTTCAGGCAGTTCCTTTGACCTCATGATTCTCATTTGCTCTGACATGCACTGTGAGCTGTAGGGTCTTATGTAGACAGGTGTGTGGCTTTCCTAATCACATCCAATCAGTATAATCAAACACAGTTGGACTCAAATGAAGGTGTAGAACCATCTCAGGGATGATCAGAAGAAATGGACAGCACCTAAGTTAAATATATGAGTGTCACAGCAAAGGGTCTGAATACTTATGACCATGTGATATTTCAGTTTTTCTTTTTTAATAAATCTGCAAAAATGTCAAACATTCTGTGTTTTTCTGTCAATATAGGGTGCTGTGTGTACATTAATGAGGAAAAAAATGAACCTAAATGATTTTAGCATATGGCTGCAATATAACAAAGAGTGAAAATTTTAAAGGGGTCTGAATACTTTCCGTACCCACTGTAAATAGATGGAATAACTAACAGGCACATTTTGATTTCACAAGGAGTTCACAGATGTGTATGGCCATACAGTATTTGGAGGTAGGCATGATATGAGTGACTGAGCCAGAGGGAAGGAAGAGGTGAAGGTGCCAGTGAGAATACTAATCACAATTTATTTTGTGCATCATTAAACAAGACCATCAGACACATTTTAGGTGACACCATAAGGGTGACTGGAGATGCAGCATTTTGTCACCACATTAAGGAAAGAATGTGCATAAAAAACAAACAATCTCAACATACATTTATGCTCTTTTTTGACTAAAAAGGAAAACACAGGACTTTGGGTATACTGTTGGGTGCTGCGTGTCGCTGCTACCTTCATACCTCTCTGTCTTATTCTGCCAGCGAGGTTTGCTCACTACACCCTAAACAACTAATATCTTAGAAGTACAGAAACTCATTTCCATTAGTGCAGCTACTACTTTCTTTTGTCTAAGCACAATGAAGCCCTTATTGTGGGAAATGAATAATATGCCCCTAATTAGTGTAGCTCATTCAAAACCCTTGTTTGGCCTCATTAAAATGAGAGGTCAGTCTCTAATCCTAATGATTTAATTGAATTAAATGTTCGCAGATTTGAACATACTGATCCTGCAGTATGCAGAAAGAAAGTGTTCAGTGTGTATTTGACTGACGGTACCCTGCTGGGGCCCCTCTGGAACTCCCTAATGGTGACCTGGCCCTTTAAAAAAAAAAAAAAAATCATATTATAACTTTTTCCTCTTTCCTCCCTTTACCCTATATATTCTTATTTGCAGACTGAACAGAGCTGAATGCACACCCACACACACAAACACGTATATTCTTGTTCTTTTTTAGATGCTGCAACTGACAATAGTTTGAACTCAAATTATTTGAACCATATTTTATAGAACTGAATAACCTACATAATGTCCTGTCTCTTTTAGAGTTCCATCTTTTCTCTTTTCACATATTTCCATGCTGGGTAAGGTTGAGGTCTGCTGAGTCCAGAGGGAAATCCATGCATGTCAGCACAATTTTAAGGAGTAGATGGAATGCAACCGTAAAGTTCAACCACAGAGATGATGTGGATAGAAACTCACCCATTAAGGCTGCAGTTTGCAAAGCACCTTTTGACTGTACTTTTACCCAGAATAGAGCGTCTTTGTGCATTTGTTTTGTATCTTGGATAGAAGATGAAACATTGCTGATGAGAGGTGGTCTTGCTGTGAAGGAAAAATGCTTGATTTCTAAGTTTCTCCAACTGCCCCCTTAGAAAATATCCTTTTAGCTTCGCCAGTGTTTTAGCATGCAGGGAGACATTTTGGCCCTCTTGTGCTTTACTTAGCTAAAAGCCATGCTCATATTAGTCATGTTCTGTTCAGTAGTGTTCAGCTAGATCCAGAACGGCACAAATAATTGACAGTTGCCAGTGATTTCACCCTACATCACATTTGATTTATTACCATTTGTAACTAACAAAGTTGGTAAACACCCTGAACACCTGTGTATTAAGGCAAATCCATTAAATATCTGGTTTGTCAATAAGGTGAAAAATCATCACCAATCAGATGTAATCCATTTCACAAAAGCATTGCTTAAAGATCTCATAATCTTCTTATATGTCACTTCCTAAATAAGGCTTTGTAGTAAAAGCAAGTACTGAATAAATAAGTACTAATACTGTACATGTTGAAACACTGAGGCACTTTGGCAAGGACATAGTTTCCCATGCGCGAGGTTTGGGACAATAATTATATAGGCTCAAAGGACAAGGTCAGATGACGGAGAAAAGCCTGGTTAACATAGCAGGTGCGAACACAGTGAAAGTTACAGTC